ATTGTGCACTGTGCATTTGCAGCATTCAAATGAATATAAAGGCCATGATTCTTCAAATAAAAATGTATCATGCTTATGACAGGATTGGCCCTTTTACCAGTGTCGAATGATTTATTGATCAAGAAAATAACCTGCTGAGGGATAGCTTCACAGCACACTCCAAATATACCAAATTTTTAGAGAGTAAGAAAGTAAATTGGACATGCTTGCAATGGACTTGAAGGATAGTGAAACTTATAAAAGGAAGTAAGCTAGACACACTTTAATGTCAAAATCATTGTTACCTGTTAAGCATAATCGAAGCTATAATGAGATACAACATTTAGCGTAAAAGTGGCCCCCTGTAAGTGGCAGATTGTAGTTGTTTCCTGCATCAGTTTACAGCCCTTTTAACAATAATGGTGCCTCTTTTAATACATCCTTATAGTACTCCCTTTCCATGTTAACAAGATTTCTGTGATCTAGTGCTTTTGCATTGCCTGAAAATGATAAATATAATACTTGTGTTATTACAGTACTAACTTACCTAAGTTTTCCTTATATCTGATTGCATGTTAGTACTTCTTATAATCAGTCCTCTTATTTCTTTACAAGTGGCACACAAGTCAGACATAGGCTTCACTTTTTCAATATAAGGCAGGTAGCGTAGCCACAACATGTTGAATATTGTTTCACATGAATCTGCATATTCTAAATATACTTGCTTTTAGATGTACTGCATGGTAAACACTTATTCTCGTAAATTTTCATTCCAGGTATTCTTCCAGAAAGATTGATTCCATGGACTTCAGTGTAATTTCTGGTGAACACAAGAACCCTGAAAAGTCATCATAAGCAAAGCATGGTTTGGTGTCTTTCCAGCATTTCCATGAACTCTAATAAAATTAAGTACATAACATTTAACTATAAGTCTCATACCTTAGTATTAATCTATTCATTCTGCAATTTTTCATGATTTCCTCGAACCTGCTTTTGCAACATGTATGTAGCTTTAGAAACATTACTCTACATTTCTAGTTCAAAAATATAATTAATTTTGTGTTGTGTCACTCATAGTTACAAACATTATGACCTTGATGCATGAAGGTAAAAAATTGCCACTGTCTCTCTGTCTCCTGTGGTTGCCAGTCAACAATCTCTCCCTGGTAGATGTTGCTGCCATTTAGCTTATAATAGTAATCTCTTGAACAGGCTTTGCCATGACTTGTATGTCACAACTACATGTTTTTATGTAAAAGTGACTGAACAGTACATAGCAATTACGTTATTCTTCTTCCTCCGGTAGGTCTTCCATCATCATGTCATCACAAGAGTCAGTAATTGAAGTTGCTGGAGCATCAGGCATCCCTGATTCTAAATCAAGATTTGATACTTGTAGCTCCACAGCCACCACTGGATCAAACAGTGGTGGATTATTATCTTCCTTACAAGCTTCTGTCCCTTTCTCTTCCTCTTCTTCCATATGTTCTACATCTTCATAGTCTGAGACAATTAACAAATACTGTATAAAATGATTTGACAGAAATTTCCTTTGGCAGTTTTAAAATGGCTAGCTTATTGGCGGATATAATATTGGCGGTTTCTAACAATTTAATTATATCCCCACCATTAGGCGGGGTTTTACTTAAGCGTTTGTGGTTCATGGAGAACATTATTATCAGAGAAAAACTGTACCTTTTCTGGAACATTGTATTTTTCATCACCTGGTTTAGAGATTGGCTTAAAGAAACATAGTAAAGCCATGTTAGGTAGCTGCTTTTAATTATGCTTTTAACAAAAATTAATGTGGGTGTGGTCACATGCATGAATGGATATATTGCTTGCGCATTTCTTTGACATTTTTTATAAATCTGTCAATCTGCCAATATAAAATCCCCATTAACATTTCATCATATATCTATCTCTCGTCTTATCAATCAGTCACCATCACTTATCAGTGTATGAATTATTACACTATGTTTTCACTGCACCTTCTTAATATGTTAGATTGTTACTTAAAATTCTACTTCCTTGGACTATTCTTCATGAATCAAAAAAGGAAGACACATGAGCAATTTCTTTTCTAGCTGTGTTGGAGCTCGTCTCTCTGATGTCCAATGTGAAATTCACTCAGCATTTATTGGTCATGATAATGGAATGCTTGATGAAGTAGATATAATCTGCCAGTTGTAGCATTCATTACTTCATTTGGACACATTATTAAATATATTGTTACTTGTGCTGCCACTTCTAGTTTAAATAGTCAAGAATGTATTCTGAATGAAGATGCAGAAGCTCATTTGATATCATCTGTTCTGCTGCCTGTAAATAAGAGGACAAAAAATGACTAATCATCATTTCAATATTTTGCTTAATTTTTAGCATCATTAGATGTAACTCTGTGGAAGTCTGAAAATTAGAAGAAAGTTGATAGTTCTTCTACAAAATATTTTTTGGCATATTTATGGACATCAACGTATTTTTCAGCAACGAGCGAGACCTATACCAGTAATAATTTCTTCTTTTACTAACTACAACACACATCAACGTTCTAAGCACCGACAGAGGCTGACACGTAACATTTCAGCTGATGCATTGAATGAGTTAGCTTTTGAGTTAACATCACTGTTGGATTGTTCCTTTTGGGATAGAGTAGAGTGGATTCCACTAAAAACTCTCTTTAAAGCGTTGCTACTTAGTTTGTCTAGCTATACAGGTCATTTCGTTCAGAAAAACAAGAATATGAAAATTGATCATCGTTCCCCTACACCAATAAGAGAACTGTCAGACAATATACATATGAAGCTTATAGAACCATCAGTTGAGACATCAGTTCCTCAGAATCTATTGAGAAGTCCATTAGTGAAAGTCCTGTTTACAAAAGTATCTTCATTACTGATCTTTTACCAACTAATCATGGTCAGAAACATAGAGCTGCTAATCTTCTTGTATTCAATGGTTTGTGATCCCGTACATTACTATTATTCTATAAACCTGGTGGCAATGTTTGGAATTTTGCATTTTTATGGAAAGTGCCAAATGATTTGGATAATTTAATTTGCTTTGAGCAAAGTCAACAATGTGTCGAGAAAGCAAAGCAAGAAATACCAGTATTTCACACACGAGTAATTAGAAGAGCCTTATCCAGTAAATTTGGTCGAATGTCACCAAAAAAGGCCTTATGTATTACGGTGCTTCTATAAAGAGCTCACTGGTAAGATAATAAATTTGTTTTTGTCTAATTGTGATTCATTTTAATGTACATGCAGCTGATCAGTCAACATCAGCTAATGCAAATCAGACTGATGTTGATAGACGAATAGATCAAAAACTTGAGATAGCAGACTGTGATATTTTAAGACATTTATGAGCGTTAAATGGATAGCAAAATACTTAATATGAAGTCTTTTAGGACAAGGCACAACGTTTTAAGTCAGAAGTATTTCTTATTGAAGATCGACTTTATGGTCAAATAGCACATTTATCTCGAGCAATTTCTGTTTGTGACTTTGTAGAGCAGGTCTGTCAGTGCTGTCCCCAAGGTAGACTAATTCCGTCTGTGGAATGAACACGCCTACAATTTTGGCCCAAGAATCCTTCTACGTCAAAGGTCTTAAAATACACTGGTAGGTTTAGAATGAAATTTATGGTTCAGCGAGGCAATTTCGAAAAGAGCACATATACTCTCACTATGCTGCTGCATCTTACAGGAATTTAAGGGAATATGCTATTCGTATCATGGAATTTTGTGCATTTGCGTCTCTGGGTGATATGCATAAAATTAAAATTGGAGAACCATGATACTAATTAGCACCTGCAGAATGTGGATGACAAGTCAGTTTGTGAAAATGAGCTGATCACTGTTAGTGACCATGACTTTTCTATGATTTAACTGATTCGATCAGTTGTTTTTCTTATTAATGTGCCGAAAGATATTTCTGATTCATGGTATTCAGGTATGCCAGTACTATTACAACTACATGTATCATAACTTATAAACAATAGAAAAACATGCAAAGGTGATAGAATTCATTGGCTAGTGTTGTCAGTGAAGCCATTACACTTTTGATGTGCTAAAATGTGGTGAAGCAGATTGTAAAATTTGTTAGCAGTACGCCTTCCTCTAGATGTCTTTAAAAAACTTCACCATATTCCTCATCCAATTCCAGATGAAGATGGTCATGAGTTGCTATTCAACGAAGTGTTTGGATTAGGAACTAATGAAACATACAGACCATCATATAAAACATCAACCACAAAAGCTAGATTAAAAAGAAAATTACCTTATTATGCTGGTGTGCAACAGGTCAGAAACACTCAACTTACGGTTCAGTGTTCAGATTGTAGCATGTGGCGTCTAATTTTTTTAGGTATAAGCTTACTAAGGAGCAATACCAAACTTTACAGCAAATACTTGATAAATTATGAGTATACATGTGGAGTTACAGAAAGATTTAGATCTTCCCGAAGTTAATGAATTTGTAGATGTACGAAATCATGATTGTTATGATGTTAATGAAACGCTCTACTATTCTGC